TTAAAATTTTAATTTGAAATCTAATTAATCCACTCAAGAAACCAAATTCAATTTACACAGAAATCATCTCTCTTTCTCTTTCTATGTCACGCCGCGCACCGACGACGTACGAGTACGACAGATCAATTGGTGTTGAACGCGGAGCAGACGTCTCTGACCTCGCCGGCGTCGTCGCCGGTGATGACGCCGATGCTGCCCATCTTGACCATGGCGGCGGCGAAGTCCCGCTCGAAGCTGCGCGCCGAGGGGCCCAGGTACGCGTCGACGAGCGCGCGGGTGGCGTTGCTGTTGGCGAGCGCGGCGTCGGAGGCGATGACGGCGAAGCCGGAGCGGATGTTCCGGAGGATGGAGTCGTCGAAGTCGGTCCCGCTGCCGCGGTCCAGCGGCAGGCGCGTGTTGAAGTCGCCCGGCGGGCACCGGGCCTTGAGCTCCGCCAGGAACGGCGCCGGGATCGACGGGTCCGCGCCCCGCCCGCCGCCCGGCAGCGGGTAGCTGTACAGCCGGTCCTTCACGAAGAAGCACGCCGTCGTGCCCACCGTGTGCGCCGCTGCGGCCGGTCTCGTACGTTTGCACCAGTGAAGTGTCAGTGATAGGCGGCTGGCGGCGTCCATGTCCATGCACGTTAAGGTGAAGGACTGAAGGTACCTACCTGTGAGGAGGACGAGGTCGCGGTCGTCGAGGCCGCTGGCGGCGAACCGTGAGCGGAGCACGCTGATGGAGTCGGCGGCGTCCGGCAGCACGTCGGCGTCGCGGAGGTTGGAGGTCAGCCCGTCGCGCCGCCCCGTGGGCACGTCGAACGACGGTCCGCCCGTCTGGTTGGCATGGGATGCATTCCAATTTCCAGCGCGTCAGGTACTCTCCCATCATCTACCTAGGCAGTATAATATCCGGTTGGATGTTACCATGGCGACGGCGTCGCGCGCGGCGAGCGCGATGATGTCGGCGCAGGAGACGACGCCGGGGCACTGGTCCTCGAGCTGCGCCTTGGCGGCGTCCACCACGTCCTGTCCGCGCAGGCCCTGGTTCTTGGCGTTGTCCACCTCGGCGTCGTTGCTCGCGCTCCGGATCAGCACCGACGCGTCGCACCCCTGCATATATTGCCGGACGCCGGACGCCGCCCGCCGGCGAACACGCACATTACACAGGTATGTCCGTAAAAGCTCGCAGGCTAGCAGCAGTAATCGGCCGGACTTGCTGGACACGAGGACGCATACACACGTCGTATCATACCTTGACGAAGCAGTCGTGGAACTGGAGGCGGAGGAGCGCGGGGAGGATGGTGGGGTCGTTGGCGGCCGCGTCCTGGACTGCGGCGGTGACCGTGTCCTCGGCGTCCGGGCAGGAGTCGGAGTAGAAGCCCACCTGGAGCTGGGCACTGCCAACTCGAACTCCAACAAGCAACAGCAAGAACGCCGCCGCCGCCGCGCTGGCTCGGGACACCATGCCGCCGCAGCTGCTGGCCATTGATAGCTCCAAGAAGATGAGCTAGCTAGGAAAGGAAACCAATGGCAACCTGCTGGCCGAGGCCGGATCGAGTCTCGGTGAATGGACGGCATATGGCAAGCTGTGGAACTTGTCTTGAGGAATATGTACAAACATATGGTTTCAGTCCACTGAAATCTGTATGGTACAAGGTACCCACGGATGCTGTAGGTTTTTGGAAACAGTACAGATTCCCATTTGTGTACAATTTTCCCCCTTCTTTTCCACCACGATGCTGAACGTTTTGGGGGACAGTAAAACCCACCGGCGCGTGTGATCATTATCTACTGACGCGGTGGCGGCTGGTCTGGTTTCTCCAGCCGTTTTTTTACTCCCGTGACTGCAAACCAACGCCACCGTCTGCCAGTGCAGCTTTGTCCGCCGGGGATCTCAATGTGCAAATGTTAGCAAGAGACCAAAGAGGATCAGTCTCAGCCTGATGTAAAGCTTCTGCTCCATTAGCTGGTATGTAGCAAGGAACTTTTCGAAACAAGACACTGCCACTTTTCCTCAGAAAAGCAGACAGTTTTCGGTTTTTCCCCCCTGAAAAAGGTAATCGGTTACCTTGTATTCATATAAAAAAAATACTAGACCATTTCACCCATGTTAGTACGGTTCCTACTTTGACCACATGTGTGTTGGTAACTGCTTGGTGTGACGGTAACCTCTCTTGAGTAGTAGTCTCTTCCCTGAACCCATGCATCCAACCATACACGATGGACTCTTTATTATGTACCTTTCTCTTCCTTTTCTCTTCAAGTTGTTGACCATGACGTCTCTCCTTCTATGCTCTGTTTGATATCGCAAAATATCTCCAAATTCTAGCAATTCCACTGTCAGTTCTCTTTTTTCTTTTGCACGGCCTGAAGCAACCTCCATAGTCGTACGTTTGAACTCACACATTTGCTTTTTTCGCATCCATGCAAGTTGTATAATAATCAACCCTTAGGATCTCCCTTCACATGTTACCTTCTCATCCCAATTATGCTTGATTGCTCATAGCTATGAGAATTTTAATGTCAGGATACATTCGGACCCATATAGGATCTACCACGTCCATAACCTCTCAAAGGGTTTGAAGTGGTTTCCCTCCACGCGAGATGTGAGAATCAGCAGGATCATTTTTTTTAGTGATGAGAAATCAGGATCACAATTGCGGACCACTTCAAAAGTTTAGTGATTGAAATCCTCACTTTGAGAGTTTGTGGTGCTAGATGAGGATCTAGGAAAGTTTAGTGATTGAAATCCTCACTTTGCTTACAGTAATAGGCAAAGTTGCACGCCCATAATCTGTTGCTAGAGGACAAATTCCCAAATGGCCCAAGAAGGATTGTTCTACGTACCCATTGCTCTAACTCTAAATAATCAGACCTTCCTAATTAAACATCCCTCCTGAGCGCCAGGCGATGTGTCCGTGTATGTCGTTGGTGTATGTACTATTCTTTGATTCATCAACAGAGAAGCTTGGACCATGTGTGAGTAATTTCGAATAGCACTACACATGTACTTGTACCATACAGATTTCAGTGACAAGTATGTATGAAGTCGTGGAAATTCTTTGCATACCTACAGCTTCCGATAATAAACTCAGAAAACCCGAGGCATGCATGGTACATACATACACAATAACTGCGTACTTACACCACGGTATAATGAAAGGTCTAAGAGCTGTCTGCCATTACGGTGGTCACGTACATCAAGCTTTGCACTGTTGTGAACGTTGAATATTTTTGAACACGTTTCCTCTACACTCCATGTACCTGAAATCTCTTCACGCGACCTGCTCCCACGTAAACTCCCACGCCCGTGCCGCCCCCCGCGCCCCGTGCCCCGTGCCCATGCGCCTGACCGCGCCCGTGCTACCCCCGCCACCCCGCGCCCACACCCCACCAGAGATGAAGACGACGACGGCGGCAGTGGTGGCCTCCCTTTCCAGCCTCTCCTCCTCTTTCCTCTCCAAATCCAACAGACATAGAAGGGGTTCTGAGGGGAGGCAGGCTGGCAGTGCCGGCCCTAGAGGTAGGGCACGAGGTGCGACGGCCGAAGGCCCAAACAGAGGAGGAGCCCAAGCCCAAGTATACAAACCCCCAGGTCCTATAGTACATTAGGCATTAGCAAACTAATGAGAAAAGAGACATAGAACTGGTCAGGCGGCCCAAAAAAACAACATCGGCATTTTTTTTCTAGTTTCCTTTTCCCATGGCCCTCAGGTAAAGAGGAGGCGAGGAGTCACGCTACACACAACATACTCTGATCGTGAGTTCGCGACGTGCGCCTTACACACGCTGAGCTGGCGAGCCGTGCCGCCATAAAGAGCTAGACTACCGGAGACACGGACACGGCGCACGAGGACGGTGACCAAGCAGGGCTCCATGACGACAACATCTTGATTATTGGCTTCTTACGAATTGCGATCACCGATCAGTTGTTTAGACCCAAGATATTTTTTATTTTTATTTTTAATCCAAATTAATTATTTGTATATTATTCCAGACTTCTAGTATTTTGTATCCATATAGTCATATTTTTCTTCTAATTTAGGTGTTAGAATTTTAGAATGTTACCTAAGAAACATTTGTCATGGGTGAGAAAAGAAAACGAATATATTGCTTTTTTAATCTACATTGTTCCTCGATAATTATCATACATCTACAAATATATTGTTTAATCTACATTGTTCCTCAATAATTATCAGACATGTTAAATTAAAAATATGTTATTGAATTTACTTTCGTTTTGCAAGTAAAATTAGTGTCTATATATTATAAGATTTTATACATGATCAAGAGAGGCCGTTACGACGAGATCGCCAGAGGGCCCTTAAAATGCTAGGACCGGCACTGCAGGCTGGCCAGGCGGTGGGGACGGGGGCGGGCGGCTTCAGGTCCTAGCGGTGGTGGAGGCGGCCGGGCCAGGTCGGGCGGGGGTGTCGCGGCAGTGCTCGCCGGAGTTGGAGAAGATAGCGGCGGGAGGGGAAGAAGGCGACAGCCACGGGTGCGGTAGGGTCTCGCCAGAGCTCAGCGGCCACGCGGCAAGACCCTACCACGCCACGGGCAGGACGGTGGGGGTGGGCGGCGGCTGGCACGGACGCAAGGAAGAAGAATAGTGCGCAAGCTACCCCAGCCACACGATGAAGATCCGACGGCTGTGAATAGTCGCCTGAAAGGCGCCTGAACATTAGCAAATCCCATTTTTCAAATTTTAACTGGTCAGTAATCCATCGATTCAGAGAAACTGGGAGTAAACCGAGATACATGAACTACTATGTACCTAGATACTAGACAATTCAACATCTCTATAAGCAAGTTATTTTCAGGGCTTCAGGCACAAGATGGCCTCACATGTCACAAACATTCTGTTAATTCAGTATGCTACTTCTGTTACCCTTACTACTAATGTTTTTAATTTTAGAAACCACTACATAAGTCCTCTGAATCCAACCACGCAGTATTTCCTCTCTAATTTCCTACTTGCCTTCAGCAAGAACACTAGAAAGAAGAAAACTGAATTCAGATTACCTAGATCAAGGGGAGAGGAACACGGTGAGGGAAGTGAGGCATCACAAGGGGGGGCCCTGTTCCTCTCCCCTTCTTGTTCTTCTCTACAGCCTTCTCACCCTTATTCTCACTGGCCTCCCGGGATGCTGCTTCTTCTGTAGCGTCCTTCATTTTCCTCGCATCTTCAGCTTCTTGTTGCTTAGATGACTCCGGCGCCTTCCTCGCCATAAAACCAAAGCAATCCAAGCCCAGGACCATCTTGATACTTGAATTTTGATTATGGATCCCTCCTTTCACTTCTTGAACGTGTAAAATATAATTGTATCGACTTAAACCCTCTAGGCTGCCTGTACGTCTCATATATATACAGTTACGCACAGGACTTCCAGTACATGGCCGAACCAGGCTGTCCTATACCGATAACAGCACAGTGCTAGATTCCAATACTATTACGTATTTCTACAGCCCCCCTCAATCACAACTTGCACAAGTTGAGATTGTTTCTAAATTCATGTAGCCTAGACACTGATTGTGGCTTTGTAAATCCATCAGCTACTTGATCATTACTGGAAATAATCCAAACATCTAGGAGCTTCTGTGCTACACAATTCAGAGAAACTGGGAGTAAACTGAGATACATGCGCCCTGTTTGTTTGGGCTTGTTTGACTGATAAGCCATGGCTAAAAGTACTATTGGCTGATTTAGTGTGAGAGAAAAATATTGTTCGTTGACTGAAAAGTACGGCTTATAAGCCAAACAAGCCTAAACGAACAGGGCGATGAACTACTATGCAACCTAGATACTAAACAATTCAACATCTCTATAAGCAAGTTATGTTCAGGCACAAGATGGTCTCACAGGTAACAAACATTTAGTTAATTCAGTATGCTACTTCACTCTACATACTACTAACTTTGTAACTCTTTTACAAACCACTACTCTGAATCCATCCACTCGGTATTTCCTCTCTAATTGCCTACTTGCCTTCAGCAAGAACAACAGAAAGAAGAAAACGGAATTCAGATTAGCTAGATCAAGGCAGGGGTAGAACGGCTAGGGAAGTGAGGCACCACAAGGGGCGCCCCTGTGCCTCTCCCCTCCTTGTTCTTCTCTACAGCCTTCGCATCCTTATTCTCACTGGCCTCCCGTGATGCTTCTTCTTCTGCTGCGTCCTTCTTTTTCCTCGCATCTCCAGCTTCTTGCTTCTTAGATGACTCCGACGCCTTCCTCGCCATAAAACCAAAGCAATCCAAGCCTAGGACCATCTTGATACTTGGATTTCGATTATGGATCCCTCCTTTCACTTCTGTTGAGTGCACTTGTTTTTTTTTTCTGTTTTGTATCTCCTAGTTGTGGTTGTTCTTCAGCTGTGGTGAACTTTTATCACTGCTGGGTTAATTGTTTATATATATGGGGAAGGGGCAGAGTCCTTGTCATGCAAGCTTTGTGGAAATTTCGAGGATAAGTGCAACACATTGACAAATGATGCTGACAACAAAGACTAGCTGTAGTTTAGTGGCCTAGTGGGAGTTGTTACCTTGGTGGGCAAGGATCTTCAAGAATTCAGCAAGGCACTGCGGTATTTCCTCTTTGGATTTTTTTTTTTTTTTTGCATAATAATGCTTTTCATTTTAATTTGAATGAATCCAATGAAATGAGACCTATCTTATACTATTATTGGGGCATATTTATATAGCAGATTTTATTACAAGTACATAGAACTTATTGAAATTTATACTAATAAATAGACTTTTTTCAAAGGTATATGAAACATTGCCAGAGCAATACCCTCTTCCAAACAGCTCGTTTGTTGACACCGGTTCAAGTCACACACCGGTAGGGGCTAGATCGCCCAGAGGCCGCACACGGTCGAGCACACAGTGGAGGCAGATCCCAATGGCGAGGCCGATCAGACGCTCGTTCTTCGTCCGATAAACCCACGAACGCCTCCCAAGAAGACTCGTAGCGGAGATGCACGGTAGGGGTGTTCTAGGATCGACAAAACCGACATATCTCGTCGAGAGATGCACTGAACAGCACAGGGTTGGAAGAGCTTATAAGGTATATAGAAGATAAAAAGTAATAGATGCTGTGTTTTTTGACGACTGGGTGCTGGATCCCTCAATCGGTCGTCACCCTATATACATAAAGAGAGGGGCTGGTCTTTCCGGTACCGAGAATAATAGAACAAAAATCGGCCATATTGATTTTCCGTACTATAATCGGACTAAGATAAAAATCCCAACAAGGACGTGACGTACTTGTGTTCCTCCACGTCAGGAGTCAGGACGTATTGTCGAATCACCCCCGGCCAAAGTTACTTGCATCTTGGCTCACGGGATCATATACACGGACCCAGTGGAGTGATTTCTGTTATTTCCTTTTACGTGGAGTCTCCGAGAGTCCGAGATAATAATATACAAATCCATATTATATTTTCTTTTCCGAATTCCCTTCATGGATCAATCTCGGGCTAGGCATTGCGTACCACCGCTGGACTCAAGTCCAAGTGCACGTGTGCCCCTCTGAACTCTTGGATTCCTCCTTGCTCAACAGCTCGTGTGCCTTTGCAACCAATGCATCGTGTCCAGCTGACTGAGCCAAGAAAGCTTGTGCACTCAAATAATCGGCCACAGAATATTAGCCTGATTAAGTAAATAATTTAGTATATCAAATATTCAAATCTTGCTAAGCAATAGACTCAGGCCAAATATGAGTCTCACTGTACCCTCCTGCCCGACCTTTCAAAAGTCATTTTTTTTCCTATTCTTTATCTCATGGTAGTTTTAATGTCAAATCCAAAACAAATAAATTGGACTACAGAGCCAAAGAGGAAAATCGTAGTATAAAACAAATGCGTCTTTCTCCAGGTAAGGACTTTTTCTGCGCTGTAACAACCTTCCCTAGTTGGGACACAGAGGAAACCAGCCAGGCCTTATGGAGAAATGAGTCAAACTTGCATGATGCATGCAAACAAAAAGGTGTATATGCAGTGTATAGAAGATAGAACCCTGATTTGTCAAGGAAAAAAAGGGATAGAAAACTGGCGCATGGTTCACTTGGATGATTCTTGAGAAGCAACACTCAACATGGACAGCTGGTTCTTTAAGATGGAAATGACTACTGGATTGATATGCATGCCAAGTGTTGCATTGGGTACACATTTAAGCATGAGATTGAATGCCTTATTAAGATCCATGTTGGAACACTTTTTTTTAATGAGAGCGTATCAACCAAGTTCATTTACTGACAATGTTCCCATCTGGAAGTAGCTCATAGATCAAATTTTGGTTTCATTGTTGGTAATGTTCAAGTTTTCACGTAGAGACTTAGAGTTCCATAATTGAGGGTGAAGTACCTTTCAGGGTCCTCTTGTTCTGTAAGGTCATCGGGTCAGTCTTGACTCTTGACCAGCACAGCAACACCCCCATCCCTGAATTTAAAGTTGAGCAGCACTAAGGACTTTTATCAGAAAAGGAAATCATACACAACTGGCAGTGATGGTTCATGGGTATCTTAAGAACTTACATTATGAACACACTCAACTCTAGAACCCATTGCGTTAATGTGGCATGTCCACTCAACACTGCAAGTGTAACACCCCAGAAGAAAACAACATAAATTTCCTTCTGGAGTATTACCACACTACAATCTAACAAGAACACATCGTCAGAGAACGCAGAAGCAACAAACTAAGTTGAACATTTAATTAAGTCTTCTACGATGACATAAACAAAGATATCTTCAAAGACAACTAGCAAAACTAAGGTGTTTAAAACAATGTACAAAAAAAAAACCTCCGACAACCAACTAATTTGTTGTAATACATGTGTTTGTTTGAACTTTAGGCCAAAGTGTGCACTCGTGCAGCTACGCCCATCCCGCCAAGCATCCTTGAAGCTCATGTACCTGAGACGGGGGAACAAGCGCGTGAGGTTTATGGTAAACCTCAGCAAACAAACTGCTTCAACCAAGTTATTCAAATCATAGTTCGATTAAGCATCAGGTTTAAATAGCATAATAGTAGAGACATCAACTGCTTCGTAGTAATATAAATATACTTCCAAGTGCAATGCAAATAATGCAATGCAATGCATGACTTCACTTGTACCCACACATCCCAATAAGAGGGAGTGAGGGCTGCAACCACATTGCTCATCAACGTGCGTTGCTGTACCGGAAAAAAAGTGTGAATGCAAGTGTTGTAACGTACCTAGTTCATATATACTTCATAATTCAAAAGTAATATCACAAGATATGAAATCATATACTTCAAAGGCAAATAACTTCAAATTTTAGATTACATGGCTAGTGTGAGATACTAAAAATTTAGTGGAGGCAATTCAAACAACAAAGCTAAATGTGGACCACAATGCCACGTTTACTTGCCTTTACCAACGATCAAATGAAAGAGCTAGGCGCGCTACGAAGGCAAACCACCTGATCATAAGCCAACCTCAGTACCAACATCATCATACTAACAAGACAAACAACAATTACACACTAAAGCATCCCAAACCCCCGGTTTAAGCATCTACCGTTTCGCTACCAATCATGACAGCAGCACTGTCCCTTGTCTTTTTCATAGACATTTAACTATACATTCAAAAAATTTGAAAATCTATCAGATGATAGAGAACTCCATTATCTACAAGTTTTGTATTATAAGATTCTGCATAAGAGGTCTCCAAGATAGCATGATCATCCTCTTAATTTAACTGAACTTTTCGACGGTCAAAACAAGACAATAATATTATAAAATTGATAACTGGAGGTATGCTCATCCACAAAATATGTTGTATAACAATCTGGAAAGCTTAAGAAAAACTCTACAACTTTCATTTAGATCACAAGTTCAAATTCCTCCATTACGAGGGCCACAAATTGGATAGATCTAAAACAGCCCAGATTCTCATCACTGCAAAACAGCCTTCTTAGAAAAACTATAACTCCAAAAATACAGAGCCTATGAGGGTGATCTTGCTGTCGAAAGAAAGGTATTGAAGTCCTCTACGACTTTTTCCACAGTGACAAAATTTATTAAAGCCATAAACAGCGATGAATAGAACTGTTCAGTCTGACAGAATTTCAGAACAAGGACGAAAATTAATTTCGACAATTTCGGGAATTACTCTAACTATACCCCTTCTAATTCAAGGATTCCATCCACAAAACTTGATCCAAAGAGGTGGATTAGTATTTGGCATCTCACCTAGGGAAAATGCAGCGAGCATGATGACAAACTCCCAGCAATCCACTCCTTCCTTCCATTGTCTTCACTTCACAGCGATCTACGCCGCTATGACTGGATCGGCGTTCCGATCTATGTCGCACGTAGGGTAACCATCATGGACAGCAAGGGAACAAGAAATTGATGGCAAAAATAGGGAGACAAGATGATGCCTAACCAAACATCCGTGAAAGAACAGTGCCCCGAACGACTGCGGCGGCGGACGACACCAGCAAGCCCTAAATCCTCTCTCGTCCTCTCCTATTCTTCCTCTTCCCTTTTCTCTTGCGTGAATCAGAGAGCTAGGGCTGGTGGCAAAGGAGAGGTTCAGCCATAGGGGAGAAACACGGCATATGGAAAGTCACAGAAGGGGAATTGGTCATGAAGAAAAAGAAAACCCACACCAGGTCTTCATAACAGGTACGTGGCTTTTTTTTCATAAAACTAACAAATAACATAACTTCACCATCGATAGCCCGATTAATGCGAATAAGCAGTCAAACGGAAAGTATTCGACGAGCTCTACGCAATGGTGGTCTCCATTAAACCATCCAAGCAACGGATCAAAAAGTCAAATTTTCGGTCTCTCCTTAAATCCGGTCAACCTTCGCCAAAAAAAGAACACTTGATCCATATTAAAATTCTTATTTATGGCATTCATTCTTGGGGTATTACAGCAGTTAACTCTAACATCAGTCATATCTGTGAGTACCTACCCGAAGCACAGAAGACAACACTGAATACTGGAATCTAGAAAGGTACGAACTAAGGAAAGAAACATTTACTTCGTGCAGGGACAAGAAATAGACCTGCTGCACTAACTTGTTAATCCTTTGGATGCACAAGTTCAGTGCAAAATGATCAAATTGAATGCAATCCTAAAGGGTGTTGGTTTTGGTAAACAAGATGGGACCTGGACCCTCTTCCAAGTCAACACCAGTATCCTTAATACATGACAGGTGAAAAACTTAACTAGTATCATATATAATCTGCTAACTCAAATTGAGATCATGTGGCACAGCTACTCATGCAACA